GCAACATATTAGCCCTGCAACCAACCTGTGGAGGGTGTACCCCACTTATCGCCCTATGGTAGCTGGGATAGGCTCCAGCTCCCGTGCAACACTAATAAGGATAATTGGAAGGAAGGATGGATAGAAAACATCAAATTCATTACAAATCTCTTTTTATTTTTACATGCATTCATCTGTATATACATTATATATTATTAAAACAAAACAAATATCATAAAGACCTGTACACCAGAAATGCCCTTCTAATTAAAATTAGTTTGAAATTAGCCTAAAACTTTTGTGCCGTCTAAGATTTTGATCCAGACAAAGCTCAGCTTTCTTCAAAACTACACAGCCGTGAGGATTTAGAGCCCTTTCCAGGCATTGCACTTATGGGATTTTTTTTTTAAATGTGGGATAAACATGCTTTCTATACTCTAGGCAGTGTTTTTGTTGTGTTTCTTCTTTCTTTTTTGTCACATGCCCAAACAGATGGAAGCTTTGTCTCATTTTAAGAATATGTCACACATCCTGGATCTGATGCTGCAGGCGGACGTTGTCTTTGCTGGCTGGACGCAGCATCGCCGGGGGTCTGTGGGAGTTCTTGCATTTTCGGAATGGACTGCCCTTTTAATTTCGGATGTTAACCTTTTCCCCCGGAGCGGCGAGGGGACCATTTGCTCCATCAGATCTGCTCTGGTGTATATCTCTCTTTCTGCTCAGCAGTAGCCAGTCATGTCGCCCCCAGCCTATTCCCTATCCCCCCCCCCCCCATTATTGTACGTAGCTCACTTTTGCTCTCTGTTCACATCTCTGCAAAAAGAAAGAAGAAGAAAAAGCACAGGCATGTGAACAAACACATCAATATGCAGTGACTAAGTGAGCCTTGTAGAGATACACGGGGAGTTACGATTAATTTGTAACGTTAATTCGCTTTGTGTCGAGACCACTGATAGCAGTGGATTTATGCTTTGCTCCCTGTTGCTTGTGTGCATGCTCTGGGTGATGCGTGTGTGTTTAGGGGCCTCTGGAACACCACTGCTTTACCGCTGATAGCAGGATCATGACGCTCATGTAGTCAAGTATGCCATTATCACTAAAGCGCGTGTAGATAGTCCACCTGAGTCCTCAGACATGATATTTACACATAAAGGGTGCTCAGAGATAAACAGCAGGGGGTACAGTACACTGTAGAAACAAGCTGGATACTGCTACACAGTCCAAAACACCAAAACATACGCCACGCTCATGTCGGCGCGTCTCTGCCACTGTAACATACTCCAACCTGCTGGCTTGTCGACTCAGTACAAAAGAAGTCAAGAAAAGATTGGATGATAGAGGGTGTAATTTTCTTAAATACGCACCAGCAAGTTCCCGGTCCAACATGTCGATAAAACTCTCAAGATCCCTTGTGTCTCCCAGCTTGGCTGCAGAAAGAGGACAGAAAGAAATGGAATTTGAGAAAGAAACTATAAGAAAAATAGAGCTGCAATGGAACATTTTTGTAGAGAAAGGCAGCTCAGTTCAGTGGTAGCCTATTTCCTTTGGACCAAACGCTGAAGTTATCTAAGTCTCGGCATTACATAAAGTTTGAACTGAACACGCAAACTGAGATAAAGCTGATTTTAAGAGCTCCAAAAAGAGCCTTGGCAGCCTCGTTCCCACCAGGATCTCTCTGTTGTAAGCTTTTTCTGTGTAAAGCCAAACAAAATTGATGAAAAAATATGACTGACTCTTTCTGGTCACCTGATGTTTAACTTTAACAGTAGTCTGTGGATGCAACTGCAACAGCACTCATTAATCCACATGCGCACGCAGCCAAGAGCCGGTCTCATCACTGCATATAACAGCACAAATGACTCCACCCAGGAGCTTTGAAAGAAGAGCGCTGAGACGTCACAGCCACAGTGGAAGTTGCTTTGTTGTGTAAACCAAGACAGATTCCAGGGCATTGCAGATGCTTTCTGTGTAGCTCTTATAAAGTGATAGTGATCGCTGTAAGAACTGAGGCTATCTAGATGGAGATGAGCTGATAGAAGGCTCCAGTACCTTTTGATGCCAGCGTTATTCCTGCTGTGTGGAGCTCCTCCTCACTGGTATTCAAACTGTTCCCCATAGATGGTTCACTGCCTGGGGGAAGAGAGGGAAGCAATGAGGGAGTAAAAGGAGATAACAAGCACTAAGGGCAGTCCTTGCAAATGATCAGTGACAATGACAAAACTCTAACATAATGCAGGAGTTGCACGTAATGATGATAACATGCGATAAAAAAAATTAAAAGGTAAGTGTTCGGCGCTAGTGACTCCCATGTGTCGGCCTTTGAAAGCAGTTTGCCTGTTGAATGGTTAGGGGGGCAAAATACTTTCAATAATGACGACACATGGGAGCAGAGGGGGGGGGGGGGGGGGGGGAACTGTTTCTTCTTTTATCTTATAACCGTCGACAAATGCAGAACAAAGGGGGGAAAGACAATTACACAAGATGGGATATCCGTAATTGCAGCTCATTCCAGTATACAGCTATTGTCACGAGCACAAACAGCCACTTTAATGGAAGTGTGTAGGGATGTGTCCTCTTGTACCACTAATTTCATGCAAATTAAATGTGTCAAGCTGCAGTTGTTTGGGCTGATAAAGGGGCTCAACTGGAGTCCACGGGGATTCCAAACAATGTCACTCACCAGCATGATGCACTAAATAATTACTTTCCTTCCCCCACACTTTGTACATTAGGCAGATATTATCTTAATCACTTCTCTAACGTATTCTTTTTTTCTTTTTTTGAATAACTTACTGTAATCTGAGTCCTCGACTCCACTGTCTTCACTCAGCCCTGTGAGAGTTTTGGCCTCGTGCAATGCTTTCTGGTAAGCATGCGGTCTGCTTTGAGAAGGGGCCTTCAGCTCCTCCACCACATCCTGGAACTCCTGGAGCAACTCACCAAGCTCCAAGTCCAAGTCTGTGGAAAATGTGACAGCAGTTGGAAAGAAATCTTCAAGATGGACTCAGCTTATTTCAGCAGTAAAAGAAAATAGTAGAAACACTGAAATAAATATTTTTAAAGACTTGATTAAATATGGGGACCTGAGAATGTTTTAAAGGGCGTTTCAAAGATACCAAATTCCTAAACCTAAGAAATATACATTAAAAAAAAAAAAAGGAAAATCTAAAAACTACCAGCTGAAGTTTATGTCAGCGTGCTGCATCAGATAACTGGACATGTTCCCATATGGCATATAAAACAGTAGACGGACAGTAAAACACCTGGTCTGCAAAGTGTGATTAAAAATATATTTATATATATTACATCATAAATCAGAGTTGTACGCTCTCGGCTACTATAAAAACTTTTTTAGCGCCGGCACCATTATTTTAAAAATGGGTGTTGCATAAACGCAGTTTAGGTTTTCTAACATTTTATTAGGCTCACATAAATATCTCAAAGTTAAAATTCCTTATGGAACACTAAAATTAAAACAACTTTGGTGTGTTTGGTAGATACGTAAATACGTATGATTACAAAAAAGTACAACTACAAAAAGGATTAGGAATTTAAAATAAGTGTCACAGCGAGATGATTTTTAAATCTTCCTATAAAGCTTTTCTATCTTTTACATATATTTGTGTTTTTTTTATCTGTTTAGTAAATTTAATAAAAGGCTGGGAAAGCGTGCTCTATGATCCATCACTGAAATAAATTCAAATTATTGTCTCAAGCAGGCGTTGGACTCACCCATGGTACTGTCTGAGGACATAGCGGGACGTGAAAGAAAAGCGCCACGAAGCTGCTGTGTGTCTGGGTTCAGAGCGGTTTGATGCTGACAGTACTACTGTACTTTTATTCTAAAGCCTTCCACACCCGCTCTGTGAGAGGGCCTGCCCAGCCAATCATGTCACAGATTAAAAACCTCAGAGGTCGAGGGGACTGTAAGTGGAAATGGGGAGGGGGCGGAAAGTAAAAAAACGAGGTTGTTACGCAAGTGAAAGAGAGTGGGACTGGAATAACCCATTAAATGCTGTAAGCGGGGCTGTGGGAAAAAATATCCGTTGGGGGTTTAGATGAAGACAGAAAAGAGGGGTGTCAAATCCTCGAGTTATTCCGTTTTGGGTAGGCGGCGTAATGCGGGGGTTTGGGTTTTATGTACATTAATATTATATTATTATTTGCCCGATATAATTTCCTGGCTGTGACACAAGTAATCTTAAACACAGGACACTTTGATAGGAAAGAGAAGTGTCGCACACGCTCCAAAACAAAACTCGGAACAACAAATTTTATTCTTCTTTCACACGTGCACTACTCTGCTCTGTCTGTAGGGGGCCTTAGAGAGCAAGCCTATGGGTCATGCAGTACTTTGGAACTGTCAGGGAAACTTAAAAGCCCTGCTGTGAAGCAATACCACACAAATAAATGCTGCATAACCAGTCTTGTTCTTTGATATCTTGAGATCTCAAGTAAATGTATCTTGCTTTCATGACTACGGGTCAAATTTCACCAACCGTTTACTGTCACTTAACAGCGTGATGATTAACCCTAAAGAAAATAAGCATTTTCTTTTTTCTTGTTTTTTTTTCTTTTCTTTGCGTTTTGGTTTGTTTGTTTGTTTTGTTTGTTTGTTTGTCTTGTTTTTTGGCACATGAAAAAAGCATACCAGAGGTTACATACTGCACTCTCAAATGTACTTTTATTGTAACTGAGGAGTCATTGTTTCTTATGACAGTTTACATCTACGTGCACTTTAAATCTATGCACGAGCATGTGGACATATATTTATATATATTCATAAATGTGTTTGTGTGCAGGCTTGTGTGCGTGCAGTTGTAAGTAATTTTAAGCAACAGTGCATTCGTAGTTCCAGCTTAATGCACATGAATTCAGCTCAGCCAGGTAAACCTGTTGTTCCTCCATCTTCCCATGTGGCAGCCTGACAGGAAGGTAAGTTTTGTAGGAGGAGCATAATTATGCCTTCAGCAGTTTTATTTTGCTGCCTCAGTCCTTAGCATTCACTTGCTGCTGGGAACTTGGCTAACATGTGTGAGGGCGATGGGCCATGGGACTCCTGATAATATGAATTGTGCCGGACTACTGCAGGTAAGAGCCAGCTGAGTTTATCTCTTTTGATGGTATCTGCACTGTATTAGCGTTTCTAATTGAGTCATATATTGCAGCAACACACGAATGTGCTCGGTGTATTGTACGGCATCATGTTCTAAAGAGGTGTTAAATTGTATGACCCTTTATTCATTTTTAATAAAGAATGTCTGCTTTGATATTTTCCTTTTATTTAAATTCTCTGTGTTATTTGTTTACAAGAGCACTTGGTTGGAGATAAGTGAGAGGGAGGCATCGAATTACCTTATTGTGCAGCTGCTTGCTTTTAAAAGAGCTCACTGAGGCATGAAGTTTAAATTTTATCACCACGTTGAAAACTTTTAAATAACTTATATCATAAGTTTTAAATAGAATAGTGTAACTCTACAAAGACTACTGCTCACTGGTTTTTTTGTTTTCTGTCTTTGTCAGAAGCTGCTGATTGTGGTTCACATCAGGCAGATCATATGTAGTTCTCTCCTGTTTTCCGTCCCAGAGGAACTGGAGCCTGACACTCTGGTTGGATCACTTAGTAAAAACTTTTCTCCTCCATATCAGCTCCTGCCCCACAAGTACCTGAGGATGGACATAAACACGGGGAATTTCTATACCACTGAGTTAAAGATGGATCGCGAGGCCATCTGCCCCTGCAGAGAAAAAAGCTGAGGAATGTGTTACTTTATACAATGCCATCGTGGGGCCCTCAAAAGACCTTATACAGTTTTCTGTGATCATAGAGGACATCAATGACAATGCGCCGCATTTTGAAAATAACAAAATACACCTTGGGGTGCCCGAGGATACGACCGTGGGGACCAGTTTCCTGCTAGATACTCAGGCTCTGGACAGTGACACCGGTCCTAATGGAGAGGTGCAGTACCACCTAAAAGGCTCTGATGGAGCTTTCGGTTTAAAAATCGAAGAAGACAGCTCTTTAATTATGTTGGTTGTAGAAAGAACCCTGGATAGGGAAACTCGGGACCTGTTTCAGATGCAGCTAGTGGCCACAGACTGTGGTGTAGACCCTTTAAGTGTGTCTGCAGATTTAATAGTCACAGTGACAGATGTCAACGACAACTGTCCAGCCTTTAGCTCTGATAGCCCACACAGTGTCACCATCCCAGGAGACTCTCGGAAGAACACAGTGGTCACTCAGGTTAGAGCCACAGATCCAGATTTAGGACCAAATGGTGATATCGTTTACTCCCTCAGTCCCAAAGTCTCTGAGCAGGTCAAGACGCTCTTTAGCCTCAACAGTCTCACCGGGTCCATCAGCCTTACACGGGACCTTGAGAGCGACAACTCAGAGGAGCTCGTGTTGAAAGTGTTAGCCAGCGGCCATCACTGCCCTCCAGCAGACACTCAGGTAACCATATCCGTGCTCCCCAAGGCGAACCAAGAGCTGACGATCAAGATCGGGTTCATAGCGGAGCATCAAAACCAGACTATGGTGTTACAAGAGAACCAGCACCCCACTGCCTTAGCCGTTTTAGAGCTCGAGGGTGACAGCATCTTTAAAGACTTATTTCTTGCCATTGAAGGTGAAGTGCCTTTCACTTTGAGCCCACAGAATGGCAAGTATCTGCTTTCCACATCAAAGCCCTTAGACTATGAGATGGATCGTGAACATCATATTTCCGTGGTAGCACGTGTGAGATCAGCTGAGGGATCTGTGATCGTTCCTTCTAGACGTGTAGTCACGGTGCTGGTGGCAGACATCAACGACAATGCGCCATATTTTGTACAGCCTCACTACGAACTCCAAGTGGAAGAAAACAATCAGCCAGGAATGTCACTGCTTCAGATCTCGGCTTCAGATTTAGACAGCGGAGAAAACGGCATGGTGACATACAGGCTTGAAAACTACAATCCAACCATGTTTAGCATTGATTCTGTAACAGGTCAACTCTCTCTGCTGGTTCCTCTAGACAGGGAGCAACAGAATGTACACAGACTCACTGTGTTTGCTCGGGACAGCGGCTCTCCTCCCTTGGAATCCATGGCCACTGTATCCATTCACGTTCGTGACCAGAATGACAATCCACCTGTTTTTCTTACCCCTCACTTCATCTTTTTCATTCCTGAGAATGTTCCAACATTATCCCAGGTGGGGAAGGTGGAGGTGAAAGACCCAGATAAAGGGGAGAATGGGACAACAGAATTGTATGTTGTAAACAGCAGTGCACCTTTTGTTGTGGATAACACCCAGGGGATGCTACGCACCACTAGGAACTTGGACCGCGAGACAGAAGACCGCTATGAACTCTACCTGCTGGCCAGTGATCACGGCCAGACAGTTGCTTTGACTTCCACTGCCAGAGTGACCATCTTTGTGGAAGACATCAATGACAACCAGCCAAAAGTGATCCTTCCCGGCAGCAACTCCTCATGCCTAACTGTCTCTCCAGGTACCCTGGCAGGTGCCACGGTAGGAAAGATCTATGCCATCGATGAGGACTCTGGACTGAATTCAGAGATTACTTACTCAGCTACAGCACCGGAGCTTTTGCAAAACAGAAGTCCCTTTCAGATCGATTCAAGGTCAGGGAACATCACCTTAAGCCAACAGCTCCTTCATACAGACCTGGGAATGCATCACCTGTTCATTGTGGTCAGAGATGGGGGTAAACCAGTTCCACTTTATACCACTGTCTGGATGAATTTGTTGGTCAATGACAGCACAGAGCCTTGCCACTTGGACCGGGTGCCCACCTGGACAGGGACACTAAACTTGGTTCAAACCCCTTCAAAGGAACCGATCTGTGACGTGGAGACAGCCAGATTTTCAAAAGTGATTCTGTTAATAGGCCTGGGTATGATGCTGGTGTCCACATGCTTGTTTGTGGCCACAGTTATTTGCTGCCTAAAACAGAGGAGTAGAAGTCTGAAAATGAACAAGAGAGCATACACTGAGGCGAATGAGATTCCACTCAGGCTCAAAGACAAATATTACTCTGATTAATAACAGCAAGCAATGTGTAAAGCTCACAGTCTCAAAGATAAAAATGTCCTGTGAATTAAATGTATTCTGTGTATTTGTCAAGGGCTTCTTGCATTGTAATAAGTCATTGATTCAGTGTGATGCACGGTGTATTCAAACATGTCGACTGCAAAACTGACAGGTTCTGTAGAAATAAAGTTGATCCATTTTCTGATAATGGAACGAGCATATACACGTTGACCTGATAAGTGAAATATGTCAAGCCATCCACAAAAACGTATTCCCTGACAATTCTCTGAAAAAAAACAACTAAATTCAACTGTATTTCACAGATTTATTCCATAGCAGGCCATCGGTAAGCTACCAGCATTACAGACATTATCTTTAAGGATTATTGCCCATGACCCCTGCGGGTAGAAAGATTGAAGTAATGGTCTGTTAGGTTGATTGGTCCTTTCTCAGATTTCTGACTGAGTGATGGAGAGTCTAAAGTATTTAGACACACAAAAGGGTTTAATGTTCCTCGGTTGGGGAAGTGATGAAAGTCTCTCAAGAAGTAACTCTGAGATGAGCTCAGGAGGCAGAGGGTGGCCACGGACAGGTGAGAGGCGGCAGAGGGAAGGCACAAAAACATCTCAAGTAACCGCCTCACACCTGTTACTTGATAGCACTGCTTTTCACCCACAGAGCTGGATCGCACCAACAAGGCAGAAAAAACCCCAAACCTACCGTACTGCACCCAGTAACCTGACAGGCTTGTTGTTTTGATAACAGATGTTTGGAGTGAAATCACACCGTGTTCAAAGACACAATTACAAAAGACACTTGCTCTTGTGTTTTACTGATGCATTTGCATGCTGGAGAACAATTGAAATATCAAACCAGGTTAAGTGATGCATAAAGTATGAATGAGTCAGGCTGAAACGTGTTTGCAAATCTGTCAACACACAGTCGAGCACAGAGGGCAGGGTAATTGTTTCAGCTTTCTCAAACGAAAAAGCTCCCCCACCTTTTAAAATCATCTTTACAGTATCATAAACCATTAAGAAATCCTTTGAAGCTACACCTGCGTTAGAGGGAAGAAAGGAAGCAGAGACTCGGTGCCTGTAAAACACAATGTACAACAACCTGGTTAGTGGGGAACAAGGCTTGTATAACATGAGTGGTGCCTCTCTGAGGATTTCAGAGCTGGCGGCTCAAAAAATAAATAATCTATTAACACTTCGGTGTGAGATTTACTATATCAAATGAGAAGAAACAAAGACTGCTACATAAAAATTACAGACTAACAGCAGATCTTTACATAAAAAAACATGTAGAAATGTATATTAAAGTATATTTATTTTTATTTTATGGGGGGGGGGTTGTTTGTTTTTTTGTTTTGTTTTGTTTTTTTTTTACATAATTTATTGATTGTTATTGGCCAATTTTTAGCCCCAACTACAGTCCACTGGGGGACGAAACTAAACCCAAACCCTTACAATGCTGTTGCAGGGCAACGCCTGCCATCTACTGGGCGCAAATGAAGCAAAATAGGGTTAATTTTGTTTTTACATTTCTGGTATTAGGCCAGAGGGAGGAGATGAATCAGAGCACAGTCTCTCACTGCGACACAGTCAGGTGCCCTGGGATCAGGAATGTTTCCTTGATGTGCACAAAAAAGACATTTTTATCTTAATCATGTTCCCTTTTTCTGCTTCTTATGCTGAACATTTGATGGATGGCTATATAGCACAAAAGAGAGCTGTCGTGACAGATAAGTGATTGCATATTACAAAACGAAAGGGACTCATTGAAACTCTATCTTGTTAGGTAAGATCGCTAAAAAATAAACACTTCTCATAAGTGTGCACATGTTTATAGTTTTCCTTTCGCTGGAACATTCCAAAAGAGGTAAAAAAAAAAAAAAAAAAAAAACCGTGACACCGTTTATTTGGGTTGCTGGGATGCCACTTCAGTCACGGTAAAGTGTATCTCACTGCAAACAGATGATATCTGTCAATTTCCTGTAAGAATATCACCTGAACGCTCAAAGGGCAACACCATGATAGCCAGTGTTATCTCAATCAGAGGTCGTAGACCAGGGGTGCCCAATCCCGGTCCTCGAGAGCTACCGTCCTGCAGCTTTTAGATGCATCCTTGTTCCCACACACCTGAATCAAATGAATGGCTTGTTATCAGGCCTTTGCCAAACATGATGGCATGCTGAAGAGATCAAACCATTTGATTCAGCTGTGTTGGAGTAGGGATGCATCTAAAAGCTGCAGGACGGTAGCTCTCGAGGACCGGGATTGGGCACCCCTGTCGTAGACCGTCTGAAACAACAAGCTCGACTCAACATGATGTACGACTCATTCCTCATTTGCCTGGACATGTTGGCATTTTGACTTTTAAGACAAAAAGGTCTTAGCTAACCACTGTTTGTCCCCACACACACGAAAAGAAGAAAAATCTATTCTTCTCTGTGAGCACGTCTGTATGCAAATGAGCGTCAACAATGGACTTAGTAAATGTCCGCAAGTTTAAGGACCCCCGGCCTCCTCATCATTTCTGCTCCTTGAAGTTCATTGAAAAGCGACATTGTTTCTTTAAGGTTGCACTCGCAGTCATCGGCGGGTCTGTCCATTGTTGGGGGGAACAAAACAGCGAGTTGAGATTGATATACGGGGGCCGGAGACAAGTTGCGCATATCATCAGCGGACCAGCTGCAGTTCGGGCAGCGAGACAGTAGCCGACAAGTCCTTGAACGCATCTTTCCAGACATGGGTAAGAAACTTCACACAGACTAGAGTCTACCTTTATTAGCTTGTAGTATGTTCTTATTATCACTTCTTTTCTTGATTGTATGCGATTGTTCTGGGAGGGAGGGGAGCAGTGAGAGGGCATCAGAAGTTATTAAAGTGGGGGCTCTCTTTTTTTGTCAGTGTAGAGGTCGGCTTCTTACCGGCTGATATTATGAGATTTATTTCATGCTTGAGATGGCAGGGCTACTTTTCAGACGAGCCTTGTCGCATTTTCTTTCGCTCGCAATCCTTCTCAATTTTTATAGAGGCGATTTGGCCCCAGCTTTTGCATTTTCAAGACTATTCCTGCAGGGCTTGTCTTTTCATTTGGGTCACAATCAAAGAGCCAGAGAGGGCCGCAGTGATTCGTAATTGGCTAATTGGCACAAGGTGCATCTGAAGGCCGGCCTGATTGACTGACTGAGGTTAGTGTTAAAACTTATGAATTATGCTGATACAATGTGTGTGTATATTCTCTAAAAAAAATCTATCTATATGTACTGTATATAATTTATTGTGTAGCTATGTTATTCACAATTTCTTGTCAAACTCTGTGTTCTGTGCACAAACCCTCGCTATGTGAATCGCATGCAATCAGTTTGCATGTCTGGTCATGCACAGACACCCAACAAAGCTATGCGTTTGCTTAAAGAGCCATCTATTTGCCCCTCCGGCCATCTGTGTTTACTGCAATGGTACCAGCTACAGTCTGCCTGCTTCTATTGTGCATGTCTGTGTGGATGCATGTACACATTTACACAGTTCCATTGTTTGTTTCTAGGTTTGCTTTTTCCATCCTCTTCCAGCACTGGCAGCTCCCCACTATCATTTTCTTGTTCCTGTGTCTTCTTAGTAGGAAGTCTGGTGAATATGCTTGTGTGTGTGCCCGCAAAGCACAGAGGTGCCTCTGGCCTTTGTTTGCTTGACATTGGTGGCCCTTGTACCCCCATGATGGTGTGGCACAAAGACTGTTGTCTCTCCAGTCACAAAAGCAGCCACTCTTTCTGTTTCGCTTTGCCTTCTCCTCAGCGTCCTCCCTCTTTTCTCACACTCTCCATCCTGGCTGGTGAATGGAGTCAGGGTGTGAGATGGGGTCAGAGTCGACACGTCCCCATGCCCGTGGCCCTTGGCATCCATTCAAACAGCACATGACTAGTGGGGGGAATGGACAGACTTATTAAGCGAACTTGTGTGTTTACAGCTGCAGCTTGATCAATGCTGACATTTTATCTTTAAAAGGTTGCTTTGGCTGGCTTTGTTTTTCCTTATTGTATTTTTTACCCCTAGTATTATGTAGGTAGGTTTTTGGGTTGTCAAATTTCATGATTCTTATCTCTGGGGTTTTCTGTCGCCACCAAGTTCAGCTGTATTTTATGCCAAATGCTGTGTTCGTGCTATGAAATCAGATGATAACCTTTTTGTCTACTCCCAATTATGAAAATTGACAGAAGCCCTATATTTTTAATTATCAAGGGTAACATGAAATAGTTTGTGTAGAAAGGATCTGCTGTTGGATATTTGGGGCACGAATCACACAAAGTTAACTCTGAGTTGCACGTGTTTAGATTGAAAGAACGATCAATAAACTGTTCTGCAGTTTTAAGCAGCACAAACAAACACAAAAAAACTATTTAGCTTGTCTGTGCTGGGGTGGAAGCAACAATCTCATAAAGGGATGTCTTAAAACCAGAACAAATGCAATCAAAACTATCTGCATGGCACAAATCGGAGTTCAGTGAGAGTAAGTTTAGTTGAACAGATCATTTTAAAAGTTGCGGCACAATTTAATTTTCATTAGCTTGAAAGAGTGAAAACATATTTCCTGTCCTTGGGAGAAAAAAACCATGCAGTATATTCTTTAATATTTCGTACGTTTTAATGGTGTACTATGTCTTTCCGCTGTTCATAATATGCTTTGTTTTCCATGGCGCTGCATGTCGACTAATAGGTTGCTATGAGTGCTGTATGCGGTGTTTGGGTGGGGTGCCGTACTGTTCCCTTGTTGCCACACTTCTCTGCTTCTCTGGCATTGCCCTCTTCTGTGGTTGTGGGCACCAGGCACTCACAGAGACAGAGAGGCTCATCGAGACATACTTTGCACGTAACCTTCAGGACTACATAACCCTAGCCTACATGTAAGTCGTCCTATATTTCCATCATCGAAGCGTGATCAAACCTGATCTTCAGACTTCTCATGATTTCGTCTGTATTTTGAAGGTTTAACCCTTTTAACCTCTTAACATTTTCTTTTTCCTTTGCCACTCTCAGCATTCAATATTTCCAGTATGTCATCTATGGTTTGGCCTCCTTTTTCTTCCTCTACTGCATTGTGCTTTTGGCCGAGGGCTTCTACACTACGAGCGCTGCAAGGCAAACCTTTGGAGAGTTCAGGAGCACCATGTGCGGCCGCTGCCTCAGCTCCTCGGTGAGAGGG